ATAGGCTTCTCCTTTTATGTGAACTTAAAGTGCAGAGAAAGAAACAGTTCACAAATACTGAACAAAATGCTACAAAATAGTGTATCAATATGATAACAATGACATGAAGTACTGGGATTTTTTCTTTTGTTCCCTTCAGCTAGTCCTTTGACGTATTGTATTACATAGAGAGACTACAGTTTGAGGAAGAGAAACTAAGCTGCACCTTGGTCTCACTTGGCCTTGTGGACTTAAACAACAGAGGGAACATTACTCCCAGAGCAGGAATAGTTTCAAAAGCAAGGACAGTTTTTGGGACAGATGCAGGAAATGACTGCAAAGCAGCAAAGACTGTTTGACCAAAGCTGTGTTCTGAATCACAAGTACAAAAAAATACAGACAGTGTAATTTACAAATCTAACATGTTGGTACTACAGAACCAAAGATTCTACCCTCATTTTCACCAGTTCAAATGAAAAACATCAACAACATCAGCTTATATTAGCTGTCACTAGTTCTGTTTTCTGGCAAAAGCCTTCTCTGGAGCCAGTGTCTGTGCTCAACCAAAGGTTTCTTTTTAAAGGAAGAAGCTCCGTTCTAAAACACCACTGTGCAATCGCAAACAAGTCCAATAGAACGATCCGCCTTCGCTCTAGTGATGCGAGTTGAATTTCAGGAGTCACATTCTCCCAATTAAACTTCCATTCATACAATATAAGCTTATAAACTTACTGATTTTGAACCAGTATTTGTATCAAGAAGGCTAACTTGTGAGAAGTAAGCACAAAAACCTTATCTCCACTGACAGGCAGGTGTGTGTGCGAGTGAGGGACAGAGAGAGCCAACACTCCAACATGCATCTTGAATGAGCAGTGCCGCTAGCTCCCACCAGGCACAGGTGATACGCAGAGCCGTAAACTGAAAAGTAGAAAAATTAACCTGTAGACCGGCACACATACCTGGTCAAAAATATTGTCAGAGTTTAAACGATTAACGGTTAACTCTCCTCCTGCTCCTGTTCTTCCTCCTCCAATCCTACTTCCCATGCGTGACAAATCACCAAAGTTTGCACAAAGATCCAGTCCTATGCCAGGTTTTCTCAGCTGCAAATACCAGTCAATAGTCCTGATGGTAGCACTACAGCAAGCGTCTAAAGTAAAAAACTTTGAAAATTCACAACAAATCGACCGTAGGTGCTGCTACAGCTTTCACCAAAATGTAGCCCCAATACTGAAGAAACTTTTGTACATTTAAACCTATTGCAAATTAGAAGTCCATCACTATTGTTTTATTCAAAAACTGTAAAACTTCTTAAACTTACCTCCTCCCGCAATTTTTACTCAGTTGACACCAAACTTGCTACAGAGCATCTTCAGATTTGGCAAATATCAGAATTTTATATCAAAAACTGAATTTTTGACAGCATTTTGAATTCTGTCGTCATGTGAACCATTGCTATCAATGGGAATAGAGCATCTTTACACATCAGTTTTTCACTTATGGAGTAAATAAATCATTGTTAAAAACAATACATCTAACAACATCTCCATGCTGTCTAGATGCAAGATGTGTATTTTCAGATTTTTGTCTTGATAACTGAATTTATGACAGGAAGCTATAGCATACCAATATTAGCAACATACACATGATTGCGAAGCCACAGTTGTGAGCCTTTGGCCCCTGTTAACAGAAAGCTAAACTATTAGCAACATTTTCTCTCAGTCTCTGAAAACACTTTGCCAATAAGTCTATTAAAACAATCCATTCACATTTTTAAGAAAGCTAATCTGAAGAGTATGTGTGTGTGAATGTATGTATGTGTACTTGTACAGTACAGGCCAAAAGTTTGGACACACCTTCTCATTCAATGCGTTTTCTTTATTTTCATGACTATTTACATTGTAGATTCTCACTGAAGGCATCAAAACTATGAATGAACACATGTGGAGTTATGTACTTAACAAAAAAAGGTGAAATAACTGAAAACATGTTTTATATTCTAGTTTCTTCAAAATAGCCACCCTTTGCTCTGATTACTGCTTTGCACACTCTTGGCATTCTCTCCATGAGCTTCAAGAGGTAGTCACCTGAAATGGTTT